GAATTACTAGGATTTATCTGGATTAGAATTTTAATTGTTTCGGCGATTTATGATTCAATTGTGTAGTTTTAATCTCAAACCGTTATTGATATTTTTCCGAACCTTGGTCCTAGCCCAATCTTATTTTATTTCAGCCCGTTTGGAAATAAATTAATTCGGCCCAATTTAGTTTTATTTTCTCAGACCCATCATGTTATTATTCCCGACCCAATTAATTGTATATTCAGCCTAAATTAGTTATATTTTTCAGCCCTCATGTCTTACTACGTTTTGGCCCAATTCTTATTATTCAATATGGCCCAACTGAAGTAAGACCGCATGAGCTTCTTCTTCTCCCAGCGACCCGGTCGCTCTTATCTACTCGTTCAAAAATTTCTGTTCCGACTTGTTCGTAAGATTTTCCTCACGTTCGACTCATTCTCGCGACTATTAATCAGAGAAGTGGTTCTTCTTATCTCTCATCTAGAAGCAATATTTCGTAGCCTGCTATCGTAAAAAAAAATAATAATAAAAAAAAATTCGCCACTTGAATTTCTCTCGCCATGGATGCCGGCGACCATCCTTCCTACCGTAATTCCGAGAAGCTTTTTCATTGTACACGTCGCTGCAACCTCCTACTGTAGTCGAGAGAGAGAAAAGCACCAGGACCACCGTCTACCCTCACTGCATCGCGAGACCATCACTTCCGGCAACCCTGCAGCCTTCCATCACCGGCATCGAACCATCACGGCGGTGACCCCGCGAGCCCACGCCGCCTTGTTCGTGACTAACAACAACCTCTGTCCACGTTTGAGCAGCCCCACTGGGTTGTCCATTTGTGAGGAACTCCATCTGACCGACGTCCATGAGCAGCTCGTTTGAAGAGGCTCATTCTGTCCGCACTCCCTCGCCGGAAACCAACAGCTACCATCTCAGCCCGTAGCATCCGCCGATGTCGCCCTCGAACATCACCGACAGCCCTTGTCGTCGCTAGTAGCAGGAGTTTCCATCCCCGGTGATCAAGCAGCAGGATTGATTTCTCCATTTCTTTTTCATAATTTGAGCTTATTTTTATGTCGACTTCGGGTGTTGCATCGGGCCTCGATAAGCGAGTCGAGCATTAGAGAAAAGTGCTTTCGAGAAAGCACGAGAAGAGGAGAAGCCGTTTGTGGTGTAGATTTATTATTTCGAGGTCCCGATCATTTATTTTGAGCTCACCTTTGTCGTCTCGAGAAGAATTCTGACTGTCCGTTCCGACGAAACTCCGTTCCCGTCGTTTCGTTCGATTTCTTTAACCGAGCTCGTAGTTTCCCGAAGACGGGTAACATTTCCAGAACTACTCGTTATTCCGGTCGTGTTCGCATATCCCATATGTCGTACGTTATATCGAATCCTTGTTTGAAGTCGGATTTTCTTTCGTTTGTATATTTTGTGAATTATGGTTATATCTGCATCTCTGTTGTGCCTCAATTTTAGCCTTCAAAAGCTTGTTATCTGATGTTGAGTTCTTCATTTGAAATGAAGTTCGTTTTGTTGGCTTTCTCTGGGATTTGGAATTATGTAATTCCGACTTGAAACGAATAAGTTATGGTTTTTATAAAATTGTTGCGCAAACAGTTTTCAATATAACCGACAACGTGTACTTATTTTATGTTGGGCAGTTTTATCATGTCTTAAGGTGCTTAAATGAAAAAGTGATCTGCAGGAAGATTATAGGTCTATTTCTTAGCTTTTTATTGAAGTATGGTGCACGCTGATATGATATTTGTAGCTCGAGTTGTGTTCAAATGATTGTAGATATGCATGAAATAAGGTTTGTACTTTTGGCAAGAA